CATAGCTCCATATCTCCATCTTTAACATATATATAAAGTCTTGGCTCCCAAAAATCCCTTTGCTTTGCATAAAATGCCCAAATTGTAATAAAACCCCTTCAAAAATATTTTCTCTGACAAATGATTTTTTTTTTTCAAATTTTAGAAATTCATAATTCTTAATCAAACTATTTAATTTTTTTTCAAATTTCTAGACAATGTAGGCTATATCTTTAAGCTTTACCACAACCAAAAAAATAATTTGTGGGAGAAAAAAGTTGTCAAAACCATGTCAAATTGCTTAAGATATGGCTCAAAATACACCCACTAGTAAATGGGGTCACTTAGTACCATTAGATTGCAAGCACTAACTTCAACTTCCTATAACTCCTTCATCTCGGCTTAGAATTCATCAAGCAATGAATAAAAATTATAGTTGAAAAAATACTTTTTCCAACCCTAATTTCTAATCTTTCATTGCATTTTATATGAATGCATTATGTCCAAAAGAAAGATGGTAGATACAAAACTAGTACCTTAACTTTGAGTACTTATATCTCTTTCATAAAAACTCCAAATTATACAAAAATTGCACCAAAACTATAGAAAAAAAATCTAAAAAATTTAACTATAGCCTCTCAAGTTCCAATTGCCTCAAAAAAATAACCCTAATTTCTAATAAGGCCTCAGATAACCTCCTTGAAGCCCATTAGGCATGCTTTTTGGCCAAAGGCAATGGAGATTTTTATCATCCATCTCCATTCATCCATATGAATGCCTTAACTACTCTATTTGCTACCAAAATCCTCTCCAATCTTTTTTTTTTATAAGATTTATATAATATGTGTCTTTAATATCAAATAAAAGAAACAAAATAAGATTTCAAGAATCACTAATGTCTAATAAAGATGGCTCTAAATATATAAAAACTACTATCAATATAAAATCAACTTTAATTAGAGCCCTTTTAAACTAACTACTTCAAAGTAGTATTCTAATTACATTTTATAACCAAATAAAATCTATTAATATGGCTTTTATTACATTATATAGTAAATTATATATTAGATATATATGTGCATTATTTTCACATTCTAATCTTATATATACATAATGAATTTTAAACCCAAAAGAGTTAAATTATTTTTTGATTTATCATTGTAGGATAGAGGAATCAAAGCAAAACGACTTATAAGTCATATACCTATAAAAAAAACATAGTTGTGTATATGATTTTTATGATAATCTATACTACCTATTATATCAACACCATTAAATCTTGTTTTTTTATATTAATCAAACCACAACTTGTCAATGTTTTAATTAAAAAAATAAACAAAACAAAAAAGATATAACTTGTGTATTACACCTAATATAGAAATAGATCTAAATTATGTCAAATATTAATATTTCAAGTATATTATAATTTTGTAAAAATAAAATAATTTAATTTAATTTAATTTAATAACTTTACATTGGCAATAAAAAATAAATAAATAAATAACACACAATACTATCGCCATATGCATAAACCAATCTAAAAACAAAAATTATAACAAAATTAATTATTATATGAAACTAAAAAAAAACCATCCTTCACCATATGATGGTAATATATTTGAATTTAAAAATGTGAAGTATAAAAATAGAATATATATAAAACACAAAAAGTATGTAAAATTTTCAATAGAAAAAAAATTCAAAATAAAATCAAAAATATATATATATATATATATATATATATATGTAATAGCTATATATATTCAACCAAATTAATAATAATATGATATGATAAAAAAAGATAAATTAAATAAATAATAATACAAGGATGTAAGGTAAAGTAATATTAAAAAATGTCTAGAATTAATTTTATAATATCTCTAATTTTATTTTTAGTATTTAAATAAAAAGTTAATTTATTTTTAATTTTAATTTTTTCTATTATGTTTTAAAGTAGTTAATTTAGAAGAATAATTTAATAGTATTAGTGAATAATATTGAGTTTAAATATTTTACAAATAAAACTTTTTAGTGATTTGGATACCTAAATCTAATCATATGTTATGTTATTATATTTATTATTATTTTTATATAAATTTTTTATTTCAAATCATAAGACTTTACATTTTTTTGGTTTGACCTTCTTAAATTGATATATTAAGGTCCTTCTATTTCATATAGATAATAGATAAATTTAGAGGCACAAGAAAGTGCAAACCGCTCGCCCAAAACACCCCCACTATAACATAGTTGATCTGAACTGAGAGTGGACATTCTACCAACGTTCGGTTGAGACCCACTTCGTGACAACGAAAAAATCGTGCAGGGTGGCGGAGAAATGGTCGTTTGCGGAAACAGAGATGTCGGAGGTGGTGGTGGTGGCCTGCAGGGTTCGAGGGAATGGAACAGCCGATTAAGCTCAGATACTCATCGTAAACTCGGTCGTGAAGCGCGGAATTCTTTACCATGACATCATATTTGAATAGCTAAGGGTGTCTTAGGATCATGCTTGAATATAAACCTGCATGACCAATCGCTGCAGCCGGCTGTATCGCCTACCGAGGATTGGTTCATCTCTCACCCTCACAAATGTACTTTGCGAATGTGTGTTCTTATGTCACACCGTTGGGTTGGGTTTATGTTTTGCTGTGTGCTCACCTTCTATTCCCTTCACACGAGGCGTATTGTGGTATTGTTCTGCCATGGTCACAGGAATTAAAGCTGACTCCTTGACAGATCCCATTGTCCAAAGCACCAGCAATGTTGAAATACCCACCCTGAGGAAAACTCTTCAAAGCCACCACCTGTCGTTCTATCTCTCCTACTCCAGACATGCCGGCACCCAAGCCCACTTGCGCAAGCTAAAGCAAATGCGGGCGGAAAGTTCCAGCGGTACTTTAAAAAAAAACGTGTTGCATGTTATCGGCGTCTACGGAGACATGGATCCTCTTAAGTTGCTAAAGTGCGTGACACAATCAATGTACTACAATTCATCCTCAACCATTGGAATTGGGATGCAGCCAGCCAACAATTATTGTAAAGTCCAACACATAATACCTAATGCCTCGACGTATTGCTGACGGTATTCAACGTATCTTTTTGATTTCGGTAAGTCAATGGCTGTCTCTGCGCAACAAGTGATTCTGTACACTTCGGGCTCTTTCCATAACCTCGTGGACTGGGCTTGAAGTCGGTGCCGTAAAGGTTGGCTGTATGTTCTGAACAGAAGTACTGCTTCACCCTGATATAGTCACAATCGTGATAAAAATATACGTTACCGAACTCAACTTGGATCGGCACGGGGTGGACCTTGGCAAGAGGCAAAATTGGGGAAGTAGACCCGAGGGCATGCACTGATTTCTGCGGTGGGGGCTACTTTTATCTAAACAGAGATGGTATTGAATAAAGTTAACTAATAGAAAATCGGTATTTAAATGAATTAAACGACATGACCACGACGACATGTTGCACGTTATTCGAGCTCGTATTCCAACATGCCTCGCGATGCAAAGTCGGCACGATGAAGCGCCGAGCAACCGTTTTCAATAATCGCTGCTCTGGGCGATTCTCATCTTGTCCACTGGATCGGCATGGATACGGGTCTCGAGACCTGGAATTCGGCCACCAAATTTAGCATCCCCAAGTCAAAAAGGGTCAAAACCCACAACGACACCAGGTCAAACAAGCTGTCACACCGGATCTAACGAACTACTAACGAGGCAACAACAGCCTTTCCGACACTGTACACACAATCCATTCGAACGATGAGCTCACAAGCCCACTGTTAGAATCCCCCTCCATCTCGCACCGTAAACGGAATAAAGATCCTGCAGCTGCAAATTCGACCCATCAAAATCTGCACTCCCAATGTTGACAAGGTCGAAGGATTCTGACACCTCAGTACCGTGGCAGAATCCTCTCTCACTCTCTCTGTCTCGCGCTCTCTCGCAGAGCACGCGGTCGTACCAACAACAACTGGCATCGAAACGTGGTCAAGGGATTTCTGTGCGGCACAAGGATTGTTCCGGCTAGAGCCCTATTTTGTCCACGAAACATGCGTTTTGTACTTGAGGACAAATAGGGCATCGTTTAGATGGCAAGAAATGCCCAAAATCAAGCATTGCCGCTCGTAATCAACAGTAGTAGCATGAGCAGCACAAGCATTTGAGTTACAATTTTGCGTTGATGTATGTGGCAGTTTGACTACTACTACAGTGTCTGTGGCAATAGTCAAAAGTGTCTGTAGTAGTAGTCAAACTGTTTATGGCATTAGTTTATATGGCCCATATTTATATCTATATATATATACACATACATAGTTGTACAAATATATCTCTTATATAAAGGGATAAACCAACAAGATAAACAAGAGGAGACAAAAACTATCTCTAATCGGCTATATATCTCATTGTTTTCATCAAAAGTGAAGATAAATGAAATAATAACTCAACTTTTGATCTGAGAGATCAAAATCTACATGTTGTTGCTGCAAATTACCAAGAATAGCATTAGATGTGGCATTATATCATTAGATATGGAGCTTAGAAGCTCCAAACAAATAAATAAACTAACAAATATTTATTGTTGGCCACCTTTTTTGTGGGCAACAGCACAAGTTTCCACTAGAGTATATAGATATATATATATATATATTAATGGTGGGCTCATGCCGTGCGAAGAGCAAAGCTTGGCCTTATGGAGGTGGATGGTGCAGTCCGACTGCTCGACGTCGAGCAAAGTCTCGGTGATTAGAAGAAGGCCAATTAGGCCATGACGGATGGTGCATCGAAGCAAGCAAGCAATCAATCATCGTGTAATCGTCCATGCGGGTGGGGAAACTGGGAAGGCTGCTTTCAACCGGGATGTGTGTACCGTAAGCGTCTGCTGATGAACAGTCCCGTAAAGCATGCGGATCGGGGGCAGCACTTCTGCTTCTGCTGCTGCAGGATGTAACTTAGGCATGTACATCCACCCGGATCAACGTCACGAGGCACTTCTTTACCGTCGAGTTGTCGTGCTTGTTGGATTTCGGAAGCAGCTCGATGCTTGCAGGCAACTCTTGAAAGCATAGAGATGCGGCTCAATTATTTGCACGCGCTGCGGAACCCAAACCAACGTGCCCTCCTGCCAACGATCCGTTTAGGTGGTAGGTTAGCAAACAGTTCAAATCCTTGATCCGGTCGACCTAGTTCGGGTCAAAGTGAGTTTGGGTCTGAGTGCCCAGTTATATTATCTCGTATAATTGGACAACGCCCAGGAATTCCTATACTGGATACATTGATTGAGGAGGGTCGCAAGCAGGATGCAGAGAGGGATGCGAAGAAACGGGTAGCCGACAGCGAGCCGGTCGGTTGGAGGGTTAGTCCTTGTTCCCGGTGCCATCTTGCGATAGTTTGCGTGCCATGGTCATCACAGTACCACCTTGGTCGACGAATTGTTGCACAAGATGCCCAACGCCAGGCGACGTCACGAGCCACACAATTCTGATCATTCCTAGTGTACATATATATATATATATATATGTGTGTGTGTGTGTGTGTTGGAAACATTCTAGGGTAGGGCGATGTCCAGTCGGGTGGCGACTGTCACCTTCGGGTTGTTGTCTAGACCATTCCATCAGAGATAGGCACAGCCTCTGCCCGCAAGTCGACGGTCATCTTCAGGCTGAAAATCTCTATCAAAACACGAGCAAGATCCTGGAGGGAATTGGCATAGCTTGCCTTCCTCAGCAGGCACAATTGTCGTGTTCCGGACGAGAGAGCAGGAGGTCCTATTCATTACATCATTCCGGCTATGGAATCTGTGAGGGAAGATCACCATGAGGTGAAACAAGTGTGGGTGATGGGAGCAGTAGAGGTAGATGTCGTGATGATAGGGTGCGATGGACGGAGGAAGAGGCAGTGCACTCACCACGTTGACTTGGATTTAATCCAAGTCTCCGAAACCTCGGCCTGCAATTGAATCATGCAACGTTACATTAATGAACATAAATACACACACTAAAGCCCATAAAAAAAACGTGACAACAGCTATACGTCACAAGAGGGGAAACAAAAATTAAAAATTAAAAATTAAAAGATAACCGGCAGCTGGAGTTTCCTCCCTGGTAGGTGACCGGCACAGTCCGGCTTTGTCCTTTTACTTTTGAGTTGGATGTATCTTTTATTCTTTCGATCTTTCTTTCTAGGTCGTCTTCTTCTTTTTGGCGTGTCAGCGGCAGCGGACCCGAGCTCGGCGAAACAGGCGGACGAGTGCCGCTGGGGAGGGGCTTTTAGTGCAATGTGGGTCAAGAACGGGGACACAGATTTCCTCTCATACCTTCCAGTAAAGCGTAGTAGTAGTTGTGAAGAAAGAATCCCACCGAAGCGTGGTCTCCTCTTATTTTACAAACGAGACTATTTTCCGACGAGTGCTGATGAGGATATTGCTTCACAGCTTGGGTTGTTTGATTCTGCAACCTTTTCGTTAGACCCAGTCCCGTGGCAAGCTGCCGCAGGGTTGAGATTTACAGGCAGTAGGGGCTGTTTTCCCGAACCATGCAGGGTTAGTTCAAATCCTCGTCGTGGGGACTTCGTGTCTTGTGGCTTTTGATGAAAACATGGGGTCTACTTAGGCTTTGTAGAGTAGTTGCTGGAGGAGCGGCAGGCTGTAGATCAATTTGTTATGTGAATGGTGTCAAGTAGAGGTTTCTCGATTGACGCACCCGGAGATGAGTTCTCTGATTTTTTGCGTCCAGGGTTGACCCCTAGGGTGCTGGACTTTCGAGCGGTGGAGGCTGTTGTCGTTGTTGCATGAGCAGAATTCGAGGGTGGTTCTCTGATTGGGCGTGTTGAGTGAAGTCGCCCACCAGGAGTTTGATTTGGATGACGAGAAGTTGCGCAAAATTGGGCTTGACTTAAGTGGTGAACACTCTAGGTCCCTAGAAAGGAACTTGGACTGATCAGACTCTTGCTTGGAAATTTATGTCGCTAGCTTAGCAGCTTCGCAAATACTCGCCGTTTGGTATCGAGTGTGTAGTTAAGGGTGGGAGTTGCGGCGGTATGACTCTCGAGAGCGTTGCATTGGATTCTGGCTGTAGGCTGAAGATGAAGGATTACACAGCGTGGCACTCCCGAGTCAGTAATCTCATATATTATCTACTGTTACTAGCCGTCGGTGCAATTCTCGGCGTCGTTACCACATTGAACGCTGTCGGGTATCGCAGCAACCCCGAAAGCGGGTTTCTCACAGGTGGATTCACGGCTTCTCCTCCGCTTGCTGATGAGCGTCCCAATGCACCCACGACGAATGATTCACTCCCGACAACAGTAGTAGGTGATCTATTCAGAACCAACATCACCAGTTCACTTAGTGCTCAAGGACAAAATTACTCGGAGTCTGAGGATGTAGAAATTTCAGTCTCGAGTACCACGGGCACAAATGACGCGGATACAGTGCAGCTGGTTACCTCATCATATGTAGACCCTGAGCCGAGCTCTGTATCTACAAATTCATCGGCAACATCCGTGGAGGATTTGCCGTTGGGTACGGGCGAACTGGTGATGAATTCAACTGAGGCAGATATTGACTGGGAGGAAACTGCAGAGGGTGGTGCGGTGGAGGTTGGGGAGGTCGATTTTTTACCAGAGGGTCCAACCTCAATTAACACCTCCCTCCTTGACGAGGACGATTCGTTCGAGAGGACCGAACCGCTCCCGAAATTCGACTCGGAGTTCATCTTGATGCCGAACTCTGTGGATCTGTCTAATCTGTCGGATGTGCACCATGACTTGACTGATGAAGAGCTTCTGTGGCGCGCTTCAGCAGCGTCGATGGGCCGACGTCGCCCCAAATCGGTCACTCCCAAAGTAGCTTACATGTTCCTCACACGAGGTCCTTTGCCCATGGGTGCTTTGTGGGAGCGCTACTTCCGTGGACACGGTGATCTATACTCAATTTACATCCACGGACACCCCAACTACCTCCCCAAATTTCCCTTGAATTCTGTATTCTACCGTCGTAACATCCCGAGCAAGGTATCATCTAGTCCTCACTGATTTTCTTTCTTTTGGCAATTTTCGTAAGTCATTGAAAATTCGGATGCGGACAGGGGATCGCGAATTGCCAGCCAGGCATTACGAGATACTTATGAAAGTTCACCTCACATACTAGAATGAGCTTCGGAGAATCACATTACCTCATGCCTCTTGAGTATTCATTTAGAACCATGGGTGTGCAACCTGGATCGCATATTATGCACAAATTTAGGGGACTTCCAACTTTTACAATTTAACGCTCAAGAATTTTGCAATTGTTTAAAGGACTGAATGGGAGCTTGTGACTGATGAATTTGGGGGTTAAAAATTGTTGATCAATGGTATGCAGGAAGTGTTTTGGGGGAAGTTATCGGTGTTTGCAGCTGAACGGCGGCTTCTAGCGAACGCTCTCCTGGATACTGCAAATGAAATCTTCGTGTTGCTCTCCGAGTCGTGCATTCCAATCGCTCCACTCCCGGTGGCATACAAGTACTACATGGAATCGCAGCACAGCTTTGTGGAGGCCTATGTGAGCCTTGGGAGAGGAGGAATTGGAAGGTACAACCGGATCAAGGATCGAAGGAAATTGAATCCCGTGATCGGACCCTCACAATGGCGGAAGGGAAGCCAATGGTTCGAGATGTCCCGCGAACTGGCCCTCACGGTAGTCGCCGATCGCAAGTACTACCCTAAGTTCGAGGATCTCTTGTGCAAAGGAAACTGCATCTGTTACATAGACGAGCATTACCTCCCCACAGTGTTGACAATCCTCGCACCCTCCAAGATTGCAAACAGAACCTCACATTACATAGACTTCACTCGGAGTACCGCTCATCCTCATCAATGGGACAAAGCACACATCAACGAATTAATATTGAAGAAAATCACATCTGGCCACAATTGCACATACAACGGCCAACTGACGCAGACGTGCCACATGTTCGCTCGAAAATTCAGTCCGGGGACAATCGAGCCGCTTCTAGAGCTCGCAGCCACGATTTTTGGCATCCCATGAGTTGCTTTTGAGGGACATACATATTCCTTGTTACGCAATCCCTGTACTATAATTAATTTTTGCCTGAGATCCACAACTTTTTAATATTCACCCTTCAAGCTTTTGGCCTGCAACTGGTGCCGAGATTCCACACACTGCTACTGCTGCTTCTTGCGTGTCCACCATGCATGGCATGATTCTGACAGTTCCTCGCAACAGCAGGACCAGCCTTTTTATCTAGACTCCGTTTTCTTCTGACGCGCTTAACCTGCCAACACTCCGACGGATCTTAGACACTGGGTAGATCACGAATTCGTCAAATGTGCCTGCAAACCAACTTCCCACACCGATTGACGCCGAACTTGATGCTGGGCTACATCTGATGCCAACTAAGACCCCACAAGTTAGTTGTGTTCTGTCTAGATCGTGCCCATGTGTTCATGTTTTCTGCATAAACATGCACTCCATCTGAGTATCCTAGTAACAGGTGGGTATCAACAAATGCCACAGCTATCGTTCTGTACATCATTTAACTATAAATCTACACAACCCCCCCCCCCCCCCCCCCGAGTCTAGACTGCATTGAATTGCACCGAAAGATGCGTCGACATCTCTTCCATCATACCAGGAAATTAGATTCATAAATACACTTTATTTGCAGCGTGAGTGGAATTTAACAGCTAGTAACAATGATTTAACAATAACTTCTGATGCCAGTTACTAAATGTGAGAAAGCCTGTGTGTGAGGTACACCTTCATGTTTGGTTTACTGGCTACAGACAGTCAGCCTAGTTAAAGCATTTTAAGTGATTGGTGGTTAGAATTGTGAAAAGCAAGAATTGGGTGAATGATTTTGTATGATTTTGAGAAAACGAAAGTATGAGGGATTTGTAAATTGGTCACAAAAGCAGATAGGTCAAATTTTGGTTGGGGAGGCCAAACTATACCTAAAATTGCTTTTAGGTGATATCATATAGTTTGCTTTTTGAGAGGAAAGAATTCGAAATTTATTCCTTTATTTGCATCTTGTAGATTCAAAAATGCTTGGTATATCTTAGGTTGGTAAAAATTTTTGAAAATATTCTACAACTACTCTTTACTATTATTGTTTTACAATACATACATTGATGGAAGAAGTACTTGTTTTGTTGATTTCTTCAAAAGATTCTTGCATTATATATATTGTGTCAAAGTTTTTGTTGCATCTTTATGCATGTTTGGTTGGCTTGTATTGAGGGTGATGTGTTTATAGTCATCTTTATTAGTAAAATGTAGGTGATTGAATAGATAAAACAATATGAAATTTGATCTATTTGGATAAGTGGAAATTCTCATATAAGTTAAATTTTCATATAATTTTTTAGATAATTATTTAAAATATATTTCATATAATATTTTATTTAAAATTTAATTTTTATTATTTTAAATTATATGAAATATATTTTAAATATATTTTAAATATAGTTTTTATCATTAAATATAATTAATATGAGAGTTAAAATTATTTTTATTATTATTATATATATTTTACTTTTTATGAATATAAAAAATATTCTAATATGTTGATTCAATTAGTTTGAATGACTATATATTTAAAAAATATAATATATATATATATATATATATATATATATATATGTGTGTGTATCTTATTATATGTACTAAAAATTAACTAATTATTTTTAAAGACCTTATAACAAAAAATAATCAAAAAAATAATAAAAAATCTATTTAATAACAAAATCTAAAATTAAAGATTTTCTAACAAGAATCATTACTTTTACTATATAAGTTTCATTTAATTTATTAAAAAAAGAATTTTTTATCTTTTTTTTAAAATAAAAAATTCCAATTTGAAAAAGAATGAAGATTTATTTTTAGTTTTCTATACAAAAAATAGATAATAAACATTGCATTTTTATTGCTTTAGTGACTCTTTAGAAAAAAAATATATATATATATATATATATTCAAATTATTATGTGTACAAGATATAACAAATAATCAGAAGATAGAAATTTTATAAATAGTTAAATTTAATAATTTATTTAAATTATATATCTATTATATAAAGCAACATGGATATAATACAAAGAGACAAAAAAGTCTTTTAATTGGTTGTAAAGAAGAGAATACATGAAATGCAAGTAACATGGGAATTAGAGAATATGAGAATGATGGAACCATGTAACTAGGGAATGTGGAAATGATAGAACATGGAAATGAGGGAGCATAAATAAACAAGAGAATGGATGGATGTGCCAAAGATTGCACTATCCAATGGCATGAATTTTTGCTACTATATATATAAATTAATTAATGTAAATTCTTTGGTTTAATATTTGAATATTCAATAAATTATAATAGTTAAACTTCAATAAAAAAATAGAAAATAAATAAACAAAACACTATCTACTTTAGTATATTGTAAAAATAAATAAATAAATAAATAATAGTGCATATTTTTATGCAAATTTCATTACTTTTTGTATAAAACTAGCGCATATAGACTTTTGAGAGTTTCAGAAAATTCAAACAATAGTAGGTGATTTTGTAGTCTGTTTTCTTTTACAACTCTACCCATTTTCATGATGAGCTGGAATTTTATTTGCAAACTGAATCCAAATAATAAAGGTAGAAATTAGTTTTCTTTTATTCTGAGTAATTGATCATTTTTACTGATTTATTTTGTTGTAAGTTGAATTTTAGCAACTTAAAAACAAAAACTTGAACATAATTCTTGTGATTCTTTGTGGAATGTGTTTCTCCGTCCTAAACAATAAACACTAATATTTATAACTGGTAATCATAACCATCAATAGGTACTACTCTATGTCACATTACCTTTGCAATTTATAAAGATATTTGTTTATTACTAATTGATTGAAGAAACACTTCATCTATGAGCAACTGAATCATATAAAAGATGTACTCAGAAAGTTAAATACAGAACAGAATATGAATTACAATTAATAAACTTACAAATTCAAATGAATATTAAAGAAATTCATACTTAGGTTGACAAAAATAATTATAACTCTTTCTGCAATTTCACAGGATGTGGTTAATAGAAAGAAAATAATTTATTTTCTATACATAAACATGTACCATAAAATATGTTCATCAAAATACAATAAGTATGTATGTGTGTATATATATATATATATACATTTTTTTTTAGTTCTTTTTCATCTTATCCTATAGTATTACAACTAAAAACATACAATATATTGACCAAAAATGCCAGACCTTTTCAACACAACATTCTTATTATTATTTATAAACAAAAAACTTTAAAAATATACCACAAACCAAAATAATAATTAATTCAAAAATTTCTATCTACTTGCAATTTTAAATTTATTTTTTATTTTAATTTTTTAATTTTTATGCATTTAATTTTTAAATTATTTATCTAGCCTGTAATTTAATTTATGAAAAAATATCATATATATCCCTCAAATATGCTAAAATATCAAGAATATCTATGTATTCTTCATAATAGCAAATATATTTTCAAAATTGTGATAATAGCAAATATATCCTAGTTGCTAATAAGTTATTACCAACATTTCTTATTTAGTTGTTATTTGGAGCCTAGACTGCAAATTTCATAGATTTTGTCACATCCCTTTTTGGCTTTTCAAGAATTGTAAAAATTTATATTCTTTTTTTTTTAATTGATTTGTAGACCATGCCTTATATTGTAATCAAGTTGAGCTCAAGTAGAAGTAATTTTAAAAAAAACTATCTTTGAAAAAAAATAATAATATATGATCTCAATCAATAATACAACATGAATATAAAAACATGCAACTTATGCTTTCAAATAAATACATGCATAATATTTAACTCTAAATTGACATTGTTTGAAAATCTTTTTGAATCCAATAAGTATGCATAGAATGCTTACTAACTATATTACCACGTGTCACTAGGATAGTACCCAACAAATTTAATAACTCAAAGTACATACAAACCATGCCACACCAAACAACTTCCAATTCAAACTAAACTAACACTATAAGTAGTAATATCTTATTGAACAATTCAATTCTAAATTGACTATATATTATTATCAAGCAATAAATAAAATATTAATCTACAAAAGTGATGGTTTGTATTGAAAGTTCATTTTGAGAGTATGTCAAGGATATGAACCTTAAAAAATTAAAAGGTCAATACACTCTTATGTCACTTAAAAAAGACTAAAAAATCACTCATAGATAATATAATATTAAACTAGAATAGCTATTGCCAAAGACAAGAAGATTAAAAAGTCTTAAAACAAGACTAAGGACTAAAAAGGCATTGACAAGAGTGAAGAAGGCTTCATTTTTTCTTCCATATATACTTTGTAACTAGGAACTATGTAATGATATCCTATGGAACTTCTAACATGTGTTGACTTTACTAAACACATGACTTAACTTACAAAATAAGTTATCTATATGTGTACATTATAATTAACTTGTTCTATAAGCTATTAATATATGTGTAACGTGGCTAACTTGTTGACCAAATTTCTAGCCTATCAATAACTACAAATACGTGTAAAATCAAAGCAACATTTATGAAGCTTCTAGAAAGCTTTTCCAAAAGATATCATAATATTAATTTATTTTTATCTACTTCTATTTAATTATATAGGTAATTATTAAAATAAATATATATGTCTATGATATATCTCTTCTTTGTATCTTTTAGGTATAAGTTCCACAAAGAGTAGTCATCATATGTTGAAAAAATCTAAGATATAACAAATTATATCTGCCACATATCTTAATCTTTGTTTTCTTTGAAGATAGTTGATAAGGCCTCTCAACTATTGATAGTATTCCATACCAAAGTAGGAAGACCATCCTATTATTTGATCAATGTAGAAGCCTTCATAATTCTCTTCAAATATATTATTTGAAATATCATTAGGAATTGTTTCTATCTATAATAAAATTATCAAACATTAAAAATCTCTTTCAAGATCGTAATATCAAATACATTGTATCTTGCCATCTATTTAAAGAAAGACATGTCATTCTTGAAGATCTTCACCTCAATTACATTGTTTTAAAGATTGTTGCAATTACAATGTCTTATCTAATAACTTAGCAAATGATAGCTCTTCACTTGAATC